CTGGATGGCTTATACCAATCAACTATGCATAAATAATGATCAGCAATCCATGTATTAGCACTCTGTGAATTCATTTCTGGCAGCATCAACTGATGCCTAAAATAATAGACAACCTCTCCTGGGTAATAAGAAACATTATCCTCATCATTCAAGAAACCTGCAATAATACACACATTTAAATCTGACTCAGACAATAAAGATCCAAAGTTTCATCACCAACATGTAAAGCACTTGCTTGAAAAATAGTTGAAGAGACATAAATACAACTTCTGCCTATATCATTAATTCCATTATGGAACTTATAGCCACAATCTGCATACTCCATCTCATAGTAGTCCTTCAACAAGTCTAACATCCTATCATCTAATTTTGCTTCAAAATAACGTTCACTTAATTCCCCTGGAAAATGTTTGGTTCCCATGACATTTATAGTGCTAAGATGTAGAGACATCTCCCAAAAAGCAAGAATTTCTTCAGCTGCAAAATTGTAATTCCTTAGGGTTCCTCTTCCATTATTAATGGGTGAACAAAGTGAATTGATCAATACTACGATATCATGTGGAAATTCGTTTGATGCTGCAGTAAATGCATGTGCCATGTAACCTGATGGTTAATTCTTGTCATCACCTCTATCTCCATTGATTGACTCAAGTTTGGTTGTAGGACAAGTTCCCTTAGAATTATAAAAGTCATAATGTCAGATGAGATGAGATAATAATAGACTGCAAAACAATAGTTTCTTATTTACCCATTCATATGCTTATAGGTGAAACACCAGAAGCTCGACAGGAATATATTATTGAAGTTTTCCACAATAATAACCCAGCTTCTTTATTTAGGCCAATACCAATTACTAAACAAGAAGCAACTGCACAAGAAAATGAAGCAAATCTGTCCAAAGCAGAAATTGGTTTGAAGATAGAAACTCTCCTTGAACAGATAAGTGAGAGTGTTCAGAAAAGGGATGGTAGGATTAAGTCTAAAAGATATGGAGAGTTATTAAAGATACTAGAAGAGGTAAGATTTTTATTCAATTCAGAAATAGAAAATGAATTTGAGAAACCAGAATAAAGAATTTTGTCAAAAAACATCCAATAAAAATGGATCTTTTGTATATAAAAAATTATCCAATAAAAACAGCTGTTTGGCATGGAAAACTTTTATAAGTGTCCAGAATATTCTGAATCATGTTTCTATAACATATAAGGAGTAATCAACACTATCCATATTTGGTATAAGTCCTAACTGCAATAATGATAGAAAAGTCTGCTAAATTAAAATAGCATACTGATGAACTTTTATATAAACTTGACTTTTGGTTACATACACTTCCAGCTATTTGCATAGTTGCATCAGCAGGATCAGCTTGAGTGTATTATATGTAGTAGAAGTGTGAATATGAAAAGTCTATGCATATGAATGAACTGTTGCAGTCACTTCTGCCTCTAACTGGAATATTACTATTGGTGTTGTTATATATATATTAATATACGCTTACTCATGAAGCTGACAAGTCATTCAAGTCATGTCTTAGTAAACTTGCAGTCTGTACCAAATGTTAACAGTTACCAGATGTGACATATGATAAACACATTCTACCCAACAGAAATCCAAAACACCTGATCATAAGTAGTAAGGTTATATTAAGACAATACCATTGAAAAACTGATACTTAATGCATAAAAAATTTATAGAAATGATTGCATACTTAATATAAAGGGGTAATAGACTAAGTTTGCTGGTTTTCCTCATTCTTCTCATTCTTTTTTGTAGTGGAATACTACTCTCTTTTTCAGTGTCTGATTCTTTTGTTAGATCCACATCCTCTGCCTGTAATGTTTCTTTCTCTCTATCACTTGTCAATTCCTTGTCAGTTTCATTGGTTGTTGGAGTGATTTTCTTTCTTTTTATCATTTCATGGGCTATTTCATTGATTTTCATTCAGGTTTGAGGTGACTTCCCCTTATTGTCAGTTAGCAGTTCTTTTTAATTTTGACAGGAGTTGGGAGTTGGGAGTTGGGAGTTGGGAGTTGTTTTTGCATAGATTGGTGAATGGCAGTTATTCTATGCTCCATCATATTTTTTTTCTTTGATTATCGTTGCTTGATATTCCCCATGGGATATTGGTTGATGTGGATGCTAATTCTGACTTGGTATTTATAAACTGTAATTCTATTACACCACAGTATTGCTTTTCATCCAATATAAACAATTCTCTGGTGTATTGGACAAAGGAGAGCTTTTTTGCAGCAGTGAAAATGTTTTTGAGGCATCCTTCTATTGGGTGTATTAAGACGATATCCTTGGGTCCGCATAATTCAGACGACAAATACAGCTTTACTTCAATGGTTATATAATATCCTAAATCCATGGTATTACATGTGTCAGGCCAAGGCTTAATCGGCAATATTCCTCCGTGATTTCCGTAAACATTTCCGTCTGCGGCACATTGAATTTCTGCGGCTAAACGATC